GATAGATAGATAGATAGATAGATAGATAGATAGATAGATAGATAGATGATAAATAAGGTGATTGATCGAGAGATAGAGTCTATTATCTTACCTAATGCCTTACTTGATGGGAGGAAGAACACCACTCTGGTGAGGAAATAGGGCTCAGAAGTTTTGGTAACTCAGATCTGGCTTACTTCAAAGGTATGATATTTTCACTACCCTATGCCTCTCAATTAGAGGGGAATTCCTCTAAGAATTTCTAAGAAAAGTGTCACTCTAAATATTAAAGAGCATAGGACACAGTTTTCAAGATTAAACAAACAAATGAGACTTTCTTCAAACTCCAAACCCTGAAAAGGCTGTGGTTTGGGGCCAGGTGTATTTGGACTTACAGAGCCCCTGCAGGCTGCTAGAGGGCAACGTGGTGGTCACAGGCCTGGGCATGGAAATGGAGAGTTGGGGGAGGTGTGTTTCCTCATCTCCAAACAGTGGATGAACAGCTGCTGCCTACTAACAGCTGGTAAGAAAATGAACATCTAGCAGTGAGCTCTGTCAAAAAGTGGGTATTAACTCTGAGGCACTACACTTTTTAATCTATCTATCTATCTATCTATCTATCTATCTATCTATCTATCATCTATCAATTTTTTATCTATCAGTCTATCATCTATCAATCTTCTATCAATCATCTATCTACCTATCAATATTCTACCTATCAATCTTCCTTCTACTTATCATCTATCAGTCATTTTATTTATCTTGTATCTATCTATCCATCATCTGTCTATTCTGAAACAGGTCTATATAGTCCTGAATCTCGCTGTGTAGAGCAGGCTGGCCTCGATCTCACCTGCCTACCCGCCTCTGCCTCCTGAGTGCTAGGATCCAAGGTGTGTACCACCGCGCCTGGCTGAGCCGCTCCACTCCTGTTGATACTGAAAGCGTTAGTTGCAGTCGTAGTGTGGATTCTCGGGATGGGAAAGCTGCACCTTAGGTGTTGGCCTTCATAAGCGTGTGACTGGGGTCTAGAGTCAGAGACAGATTCCAGACTCCATCTTTTCTTTTGGCTATGACAGAATACCCAACTACCTCACTGAAGCAGGTGTGGTCAGGGAAGGGGGTTTGGTAACCCAATGACACATTCTGGGACAATAATATTAGTGAACAACAATTCTGTAATATCTCCTCATTTTCTGGATTTTCCATATATTAGCTAATTTTATTGAAATGCCTCAGAAAGAGGTAATTGGGGAATTTTCTTCATCTTTGGTCCTTACTGCGTATCCCTCTCTATACTTGCTATTTTCCCCTATAAAATATAGGACTAGAGAGACAGCTCAGCAGTAAAGAGTACTGGCTGCTCTTCCAGAGGACCCAGGTTCAATTCCCAGCACCCACAGCTCACAACCATCTGTAACTCCAGTTTCAGGGAGTTACAAAATCCTCTTCTGGTTTCTGCAGGCACTGTACCACGTGATACAAGCAAACCATCCAAATACATAAAAGTTGTAAAGAAAAAAAATTTAATTAAAAATGCATATACAAACTTAGAAACTCATAGGGCTCTTTCGAAAACTAATGAGCCAGCATATGCAAAATGCCTTGTTCAGTACCTGGCACAAATGCGTTCAGCATTTAAAGCTGTTAGCGGAGCTTAAATTTTACTTCATATTTTACCTTTTTTTAAACTTTTGTATTTATTTTTATTTATTGTGCATTGATGTTTTGCCTGCATGTATGTATGTGTTAGGGTATCAGATCCCCTGGAACTGGAGGTACAGACAGTTGTGAATTGATGTGTGAGTGCTGGGTATTGAACCCAGATCCTCTAGAAGGACCAGCCAGCGCTCTTAACCACTGAGCCATCTCCTAGCCCCTACATTTTACTCTTCAAATGTCCATGAAGAAACTGTTGTTTATTAGGCATCTACTAAACATGACATACTTCTACATTACTTATTCCAGTTAATTCTCACTGGAGACTAAAGAAGAAACATGTTCAGAGACATAGAGCCAAGTACTAGACCTGCGATAGCTGTCCAGGGATCTGAGTTCCAAATTTCTGCTTTTCCTGGGACACTCCAGATATCAGATGACAGTCTTTTGTTTGTTTGCTTGTTTGCTTATTTGTTTGTTTGAGACAGGGTTTCTCTGTGTAACTCTGGCCACCCTGGAACTCGCTGTGTACACCAGGCGGGCCTTGAACTCAGAGTGCTGTCTGGGTGCCTCAACCTCTGCCTCTGCCTAGTCAGTGCTGGGATTAAAGGCATGTGGGACCACCTCCCGGCTTCAGCTGACAACCTTAAGGCTGAACCCGGGCACTGAGCTCAGTGGAAGAACACTGGAAAGGCAAGGCTCTGGGTCCAAACCTCAGGACTTGGAAAAGCAAAAATCCCACAGTTCTTACCTAAGGCTCCCAAGGCTGGAGGTATTATCACTGGGGATATACCTGTCTGTGGTCACTGTGTGTGGAGGCTGGCGGATACCTTTGATTGTTGTTCCTCATTTGCTGTGTCCTCCATTGCTATGTGCAAGTCAACATACATGTCCTATGCCAGTACGCATTTTGCTCAGAATTCCACTGTGTGTCTGATTTAACAGCAGTGGGTTCAAATGTATGGAAAACATAACCGAGTGAAACCTTGAGTGCTGAACTTCATGTCTTTTCCCAGTTCATGAGCTCTGCTGACCTTGGGGAGCCCACCTCTGCCAGTTTTCCCCGAGCGATGGCTCTAGGGCCAGCAGTTCTCAAGCTTGGGGATGCCTGAGTCTGGGAAGCTCAGGTGCCTCATTCCCTGGAGAAGGGGCCGAGCTCTCTTGTCCCCTGAGGCTGATTCTCCTGGCCCAGGAGGGTGGGTGTGGACACCAAAATTTGAACTTCATGTAATTTCATCTTGTAAGATACTATTTTTTCTGATATTTTTTCTCAACCACTTATAAATGCAAAAACCCAGTTTTTAGATGTTAAGCTGTTTAGAAACAGGCAGCAGGCCAGATTTGCCCCTTAGGCTGCAGTTAGTGAACTTGTCATGAAGTTGTGACCTGTGGAGGATTTAATCTAAGCTATTACTTTTATTGTAATAATAATGAAAGTAGATTCAACCTATTCTTTCTTTCTTTCTTTCTTTCTTTCTTTCTTTCTTTCTTTCTTTC